GGTTTTATGTTTATTCTAAATAAAAAAATTAAATAAAGAAATAAAGATTGGGTTAAGCACATCTCCGTTGATTTGATTTGATTTGATTTATTACAAAATTCTCACAAGTAAACAGAGTACAAAATTAAATGAGTTATAAACAACAATTAGAGAATTTCAGGATAAGCCCTTTAAGCATTTCTGCTTGTTTCCGAAGGGGTTATAAGCAACTTTTCTCAACAACTTCCGCTCAAGATTTAAAATAAATACATATATAAATATTCCGTCTCCCACAGATGATTTTGGCGACCCAGTTCAATCGGCTGTAGAAAATCATTTTGGAAATCAAACTTACACTCTCAATGCTGCGGATATCCAGGGAAGCGGCGAAGAGTCAGAAGCTGCAAATGAGTACCACATCTCATCAAATATTGGAGAGGACAGCAAGGTCCAGCACAACCCTGTATACAACGTACTGGATATTACATGTACACCCACTTGCGATGGGGAATGTTGTGTGCCGCATGATGAGAAAAAGAACCAAGGACCAGCGTTTTACGCTTATGCGATTTTACCTGCAGGATTACCTAATGAATGACATTTCTGTATACTTGGCCTATTTGCAATAATCCAAAGTAACAAACGTTTGCCTATTGGAATTAATTTCTGTAATAATAATGAAGTTAAATTCTGCTAATTTCTCTTATCATGGTGTGAAAGAAGCGCTTTGTCAACTTGAACATTATATTTTTGAATTATGTAATTACTCCTCCTCCATGATAATACTGTTAGTAATTTGAGTATGCTTTAGTCCCTTGTAATTCTCATATGTCTTATGGCCATGCTCATGTTTTCAATCCTCACTAAAGTTATGTTTTTTAGTTTCACTACTTACACCATAAAACATGTTGATAGCTTTCCTTATTATTTAATGTCTACTTTATTTCAAGGAAGTGTTTTTGTGTATGAGTTTTATAATTAGGCCCAGACCGGAGTAGATCTTCATAATGAAAGTAAAAGAAGTGTTAATTCTTTTCATTGGTTTTTATAGTATAAGTGTCGTCAAGAGTGTTATGCCTGCTAGAGCCCATGGACTACCTAAATTACATAAAGATTTTGATAATATTCCACCCCTAAGACCTATTATTGACACGACCGGTACTTGTTATTATTCAGTAGATAAGTACTTATCAAACTTATTAGGCCCTCTAACGGTTAATGACTTTGTCCTTAAAGATTCGTTTGATGCTGCTGACCGCATTATAGCTATACCAAACAATTTATATAATTTAGGTTACCGATTTTTATCTTTTGATGTTGAATCTCTGTTTACAAATGTTCCCCTTGTTAAGGTAATTAATATAATTCTTGCTAGGGTTTACAATACGAAACTGATATCTACTAACCTTAAGAAAAATTCGCTAAGCCGAAACTACTTAGAGATTGCTGTACTAAAACTGTACATGTAATAATGAATTTTATAAACAAACTGATGGTGTCTCAATGGGTTCGCCTCTTGGCCCAGTTTTAGCTAATATCTTAATGACTGAACTAAAAGAGTCTATTGTTCCTAAACTTATTGAATCAGGTACTATTAAGTTTTATACTCGTTTTGTTGACGACACGCTAGTATTAGCTAAGCCCAATGATTTCCCGCAAATTCTAAACTACTTCAATGCTTTTCATAGACAGATAAATTTTACTTTTGAATCGTTTGAAAACAGTGACACAGTACACTTTCTGGATTTACAATTTAACAACAGTGTAGGAAGCATGAGTATATATCGTAAAAATACACATACAGGTCAATATGTCCATTATGATAGCTTTGCTCCATGGATGGAACCATAAGATCTCCTGGATTCGTAGTTTGGTTTTTAGTGCCCACAGATTGTGTACTCTTGATAAATTTCAAACAGAGCTTAGTAACATCAGGAAGTTTATGTCTTGGAATGGGTACCCTTTAAAAGTTGTTAATAATGTACTTAAGAAATTAAATGAACCTAAATGTATACATAGGCCTACTGATGATAGCTTGATTAAGATTTGGGTTAGATTGCCTTATCTAGGAAAACCACCGGGTGTGAGTTAATACGTATATGTTTAAATAAGGTAAAGAAACACTTAATTAAAGAGGTAAAATTCATAACTTTATGGCAGTATAAAATGTTTCTCATTTTATATCTACTAAGGATCAAACCCCTAAGGAGTACAGAAGTTCTGTTGTCTATCATTTTAAATGTCCAGGCTGTAATAGTGATTATATTGGTAAGACAGGTAGGTGCTTATATAACTAGACTTAAAGAACATTCTTCACGATCTGATAGTGTTATATTTGATCATGTTAAAAACTGTGAGGCATTCCAATATGTTTTAGGATTACAGGGTATACTTGAAAATGATAATGTCGTCTGTAATGTAAGTAATAAATTAGGTTTAATATTTTCTAGTACTAACATTATTGACAGCTCCCGAAACTGGTCTAGCCTATTGTTTAAAGAAGCGTTCGCTATACGTAGACGTACACCCTTTGCTTAACAATGGGCTCAGAGCTTCAAAAGAGCTTTCTTTGTTTTTGTAGGTATCTTTGATCATTAGAGTATAAATGCTTTGATCTTTTGTTTAAATCACTGCTATGTCACCTACTAGAGGTAATGTTTTGATTGGTTAAACACTTTTGGAACTAGTGCATATAAGCTTGCAAATATGGATAATTTTTTCATTCCTGATGATGACATAATTAATGTCGAAATATTGAATCCCAATACGATGGCGTGTATTTCAATACTTGGAGTATGTATTATACTTTCTTATCTGAGATTAATCAGTCCCCTCCCTGCTGGCGCCGCCACTGCTGTTTAGCAAACATTTACTGTATACGTTTTTAAACGTTTCCTGGAGTCTGCTGTGTTGTACATAATTAATAGTGCTGAAATTTGTCTTTCTTATGCCTTATTGTTCTATAGCAGTGGCTAAATTTTTATTCATCATAATATACATTTAGTCTGTTTGTACAATAGTTTTTTTATGCCGAATAAAAGAAAGAATGTGTGCAAATGAAATAATTCATTCTCGTTAGTATCTTCTTATTATTTGTTTAAATTATTTCATTAAAATCAAATGATTTGTTAACAAAAGTAGCAATAATTCTTATTCTTCATCCAACATGATACATGATACAAGATGATTTAAAGGTCTGAATGCTGTAAACAGAAATACTCCACTAGAAATACAGTGCGTGAAAAGCAGTCAAATATAAAAATTAATAATGATATAAATTACCGTAGTGATACTGAACAATAATACGATAGCATTTACTAATATTTAGCCTCACTAACTAGGCCTATACACAAACTATACCAAATATGATAGCACAGTAGTTCAAAAAGCTTCTGTAATTCTCCTTGTTTTACTGTTGTATAGAATATTAATTGTATACTCTCAAAGAAATTTATCCTCTCCAAAAGGAGATGAATAACATATGTACACTGTGTAGTCCTGGAGTCCTGGTAGCCTAGTATTGGACCAGAGAACAGATGTTATTTCATACCTAATGAGCGCCCTCAAACATCTGTTAGCATCGATATATTATTACATGTACAGTAATTTATTTTAAAAACTGACTATTATTTATTAATAACTGATAATATAAGTTATTATAATAATTGACATCTTATTAGGCCTATGTATTATGAAATAGTAATAAATAATAAAATAATAATAATAATAATAATAATAATATTATTATTAATAATAATAAGAAGAATAATAAATAATAATATGAATAATAATAAGTAGGCCTAGTAGTAATAATAATAATAATAATAATAATAATAATAATAATAATAATAATAATAATAATAATAATAATAATTAATAATGATGATGATGATGACGATGATAGTGATAGTGATAATGGTGCATGATGTTCACGATTATATGGTGATGGGTTGGCCCAAAGATTTAACTGTAAAACTCGTACTTGTATTCTGTGATTAGTCCTCAGTATTCCAGCACCAATCCCAGGACCGAGTCCAACTGTTTTACATCATTATACGAGCTAAGAAATTTAAAATTCAGTAACATTATTCAAATTGCTTAATGTAGGCCTATATTTAAGTAATTTATTAACTTACTAATTTGAAGGGAAAAAAATCCCCCAGACAAATAAAGTATATGTTTCAATCGGACCAATTGTATAACCATAATAACTTTATTTTTCTCGTTTTTTGCAGAACAATGTCTGTAAATTAGTGAAAACTATTATTTTTTATCTGTTTCTGGTTTGAAGTAAACTTTGATACTTTTAAATGAGCGATCAAAATTGAATACTTTTATGGATTCGCTTTGCATGATGGGAAGGATCATTTTTGACATGCGCAAACTGGTTTTCTAAAAATGTTCAAATTGTGCAGCGGATCGTAGGCTAGGCTGGAATGGGACCGATGAAAACAAACCTAGAAAATTGGAATTACGGTTATATGCGTTTTTAGTAGTCTGATCGTCGAATAAACCTCATAATGGATTATGCAAATTTGAAAGTTGGGATGAACGTTGATATTCAACGAAGTGATGGTAAATAACATTTTATTCTATGACTTTTACGGTAGGCTCAATCAACAAGAACGGCGGGTGATCAATCAGGGTTGCCTTCGACACAGTGAAAGGAGTCCTTGATGACAGTGAGATAAGGATTGTTCCTCTCCACTGTATCTTGACAACCACAAACAATCATAATTTTTAGTCTCCAGAAGCAAAAAGGGGCATAGCAAATCCACACAAATATGTAATATCGGACTGATAATTTTATAGATAGGTATCGTTGTTTATTGACTCTCTCTGATTAGGCCTAGTTTAGTTAGGCCTAGTAGTAGTAGGCCACCCTAAGTTTTGTTAGTAAGAAAGAAGTGAGATCTTTTTGTTTTTTCAATTTCATTTTAGGCCTAGGCTAAGCCCTATTATATATAGGCCTTAATTTTACAATAAATTACTGTCAAAATGTGTTATTTTGTGATCATAAAGACCTTACTGATCCTGACCAGATTTAAAAAAATGTAATTCTACTGCTGCTGGAGTAGAAAATTTTTAAAGCCCCATTCCCGGCAAGATTTCAGTTGTTAAGCAATCTGATTTTTATATATGTTATAAAGATTTATAAATGTAATACGAAATTGCTAATTTAACTGAATTTAGACATTCCTAAAAAAGTGTAAAATAAGACTGAAATTTGATTTTTTGTGTTCCACACAAAAAATAAATGCGGATAGATTTTTCATGTTTGATTTTGCGACAGGTCTGCGAAGAAACATAGTAGGCGCCGAAAACATTAGCCTATCCAACACCGCTAGGCTAGGCCTAATCTTACCTCGATATAGGTTCTGTTATCACACATAAAAACGGCCGATATGATATTTTCCATTGCTAGTATTGACACTTGTGAAATATAATATTTCATAGGTGTCACGTCTGCATAGCACATATCGATGCAAACACACTCACAAATAAGCATTAAGACTAACAGTAAACACAGCCACAACCTTGTTCATGGTCTGTATAGGAGAGCCTCGTTTATTCAACAACAACCACAGTGCATAGCACTGTTACAGATAACCATACGCACACACGCATGTTGCGGCAAGTGTGTATTACTACTCTCTATAAAGTACAGGTAGTACCAAAATACCATCAGTATATAACAATAGGAATTATTTCAAATCTGTAAAAAAATGATTCTGACCGAGATTTTGACAATTAAACAAATATATCTTGGGCCTACTCGATCGATCGCACTGTGCGAGATGCGAAGTACAAGAACCAAGTTCATTAGAGAGGGCGCACTTTATTGACTGTATAAAGTGTACATAAAAGCGAGAGCATTCTACAACCTCTGAATTTGTCTAGTAACGAAGAATTCGTTGAGAAAATGGTAATCTCCTAAAAGATAATAGTATGTATTTCTCATTTTTTTATATTCTTTTGCGTAAAACTAAAATTTATGCCAATATTTTTCCATTGTTTATAATAAATAGAGTAATGCCAGGGTTCGAAATAACGCTGGTTCGCCGGTCAATGTCTAGTAGAATGCATGGCAGACCTGTTAATTATCCCAATAACAAGTCCGCGTGACCAGTTAAAATGTCAACGAAAGTCTGATGAAATACCTAAAGCTTTACTTATTCACCTTAACGATGTCTTTACAAAATATACCACACAGAATGTCAACAAGATCGCTATTTTCTGTTTATTGTCATGTTAATGTCCGCTACGAACAGCCTTGGGCTCAGTCATTCAAGGTGAACCGATGAACATCTCGCACTAGCTAGACAATGGAGGAATCCATGGCTAGACGTCCGTACAGAGGGAAATCACCTTCTCCGCATGTTATAGCGACAAGGAGAAGTTGATTTCCGTCTGTGTGAGCACCGTGAAGTTAAAAGATCCATGTTATGTATCCATCCCTCAATGCAACGTGGGACAGAAAGTTAATAAATGTTCGTACAGTCCCAATAGCATTGCCATGGAGATTATCTATTAATTAAAATGACACACCAGTAAAAGGTTAAAGTGAAAGTTACCCCTTCCATTGTTTTATTAAAGTGCATTATCGCCTTATATGAATACTTAAAAATCGACTGAAAAAAAATGAAAAAGGATCGGCTCTTTTTCAGTAGACGTTTAATTCGGATTTGGTATGTCATTAGATTCATATATCAGTCTACATGTAAATTACACTCACATTTCCCAAAAACATTGCTAATTATGGAGGGAATTTGCAGAGAATGAAATTTAAATCTGTTAGATTTATTTTTAGATTTGACTCTAAAACAAAACCACGAGGCTTCCTTATTCATTATAATAAATTTGTTTTAATTAAAAATTTATCGGTTTACACTAAGTTTGTACTTGTCAACAAGCTGTCACGCACTTTGAAACTTTGGGCGATCCGACGATACCACAGCCAAGCACATGGGATTTTTGCCAAGCCACATGACCCCACGAAAAAAATTAACCAATTAGCGGCAGAGTTTGGGAGGAGCGACCTGATGATATTTACAACAAGTCGCATCGTGACCACGAAGAATGTGTTGTGTTTACAGTTTAGAAAAAAATGTCACTTGTCAGACCGAAAATGCACGTAAAAACAATATAAAAGCATTCATTTTATTAGTACAGTAATACAATTTGCAGTGCACTACAGCAAAACAACAGGTACTGTACGTATTATATGTTAAATGTTAACTTTTCGTAGGCTACTAGTCCTACCGAATTCACGGGGCTATGCTAAGATTATTTTTAGCGTCTAGGCTAGGCCCTAACTGGCTTGCCTTATTTGGAAAGAATTCAATAGAAATGTTCCACAAACCGATCTTTCTGGAAAACCGAACATCGTATTGTGAGAATACACTGTACATACCTAAATAGATTCCTGTATTTATATTTCGCGGCATAATTTAATACAGAGACAACAGAACGATTTTTCTGTAGTCAGTGGTACATCATCGGTGAGGGGCAGCATGATTAGCATGTCAAAATATGGTATTTGGGCCTTCCGAAGTTGGCAAGATAGTGGCTAGTGAAAGGGATTGAGGACCAGTAAAAATATTAATTTACTGGTCCACTTGGCTAGTTAAAAAAAACCTTAAGGGAAACCCCTGTAATGCATATGCATTTTTTCTAAAAAAAATCTTTTTTAGTGAACTTTTGCCGGGAATGGGGCTTTACCTAGAAGTTGTTGAGAATGATATAGCTAAATATTTCTTGAAGGTTTGCATGGCGAGTATCAATAAACATAACAAAATTTCGGTACACCATGTGTAACCATGGAGGAAATATATTATCCTCCATGGTGTAACCAACCAGTGGTTTTTACCTTAATAAAAACCATATTCTTTTATTTTATTTACACATGGTGTACCGAGTGATATAGCTGTCATTTGTTTGTTTTTTTGTTGCAATCATTTGTGGGGTGAGGTGGGGGTGTGTGTGAAGGAGGAAAAAAAAAGAGAAAATTTTACTCAAATTTTAAGTCCAAGGGTGCTTTTTCCAGCCATCTGGTGCCATTTATAAATTGTGAGACATGGTGGGGCTGAGGTGGTATTGACCCTCCATCTGTGAAGTCCATTGGGCCCCTCCCCCTCTATTTCAAATTCTTATATTTGCCATTGGGGAGGGAATTTATTCGAATAGACGGTATTTGTATTTTAACTTTATATGTCTTTGACTGTAGGCTAAAAATAGATATGTACTGTACTAGCATACCCTACATTTTACCCCATGGTCCACCACTGTCTAGCACTACAGCAGGGACATAGGCCTACATCAATGTCAGTGTCGACCTCACACAGATAGAGTTGTTCATTGTGCGGTCGTACTACCCTACTATTTTAAGTATTTTTAATACCACCTGAGAGAACTTTCTATAATATATCACCCATGCAAACATTTAGACCTATAGAAGTCTGTCTCCACCTAAATAAAATAAGGGCCGATTTCCATGATTTTTGCAGAAAATTAGGCTTTGGCCTAGGCTAATTATGTCTTAATACAAGCAGTCTTAAATTGCGCATCTATTTGAGAACCTAAATTGATAAACATCCCCAATAAAATTTAATGTTGATATACATTTTGAGGTTACTGATTTTAGAATATGTGTGCCTCAAATTGCTCTTGTTGTTTGGATGTTGAGGAACAAACTGTAATCAAACAATAACAAGTTCCAAAACATCAAAAAGCTGTTATACGTATATTATTGATTACTATGTTTATATGCAGTGTACTTTTCAATTGTGACTCAGTCACCTTGTACCTTTGCGAATAATCGTAACGATGAATCATGATGTTAATTGGATGATCCTGTAGTCCTCCAATCAATAATTAGTCTGAAATTTATGAATGTAGAATGACCAACAAACTTCTACTGTAGGAATCTCCTAATTGCAAATTGTGTTACTAAATTAGGTTATGATCATTAGGCTTACTGTCAGTTACACTGTAGACCAAACAAAATATATTGTTTGTTTGCCCTTCTTTTTTTGAAAATGATAAATAGGGGCGGGTGGAAAAGTTTTTTTTTAATTTATTTAGTTTTGTTAAATACTCAGATGGAATAAAAATAACCCACAGATACCTAGAATGGCAATATCTTACTTCAGACAACAACTTTAGACAAATTTGTAGAACATCTGGCAAAAAATAAAGAAAATTCACTCACATTTTTTTTAATTTGTTAAGAAAAAGCTATAAAAAAAAAACTCCCTTTTTTTAGTTTTTTTTTTCCACCCCTATTTTTTTCAGTGAGTTAGGGACGGGTGGAGGAGGGTAAACAAACAATTTTTTTTTGGCCTTATTGTTCTAAATACTAGCCATACAGTAGCAGTTCAGTTGATTTAAAAAGTTCTACAATAAATACAGTATTCATATGATAGATAGAGTCAAGCTTTTATTCATCTGTATTGCCTCTTGGGATATAAACATTTTGTAAAGTTCTTCCTTTCTATAAAAGACAAAATCACATTAACCAATAGCTCCACCCATATTAAGCAGTCACACCCAGAGTCAAACCTATTTGGCACTGTACACATACTGTACCAATTGACCATCGAACGGTAATGCTAAAAATCAAATAATATTAATAATAGTGCACATACAAATTGACCATTGAACGGTAATGCTAAAAATCAATAATACTGTAATATTACCGTAATTATAATAATAATTTGTTTGAAGGTTGTACAGTATTAATAATGAACTGGTAATAATATTAATAATAATAAATAATAATATAACATCCTTTCATTCTTTGTGGAACTGGGCCACTATAAAATACACCAAAATAAAAAAAAAATACATATAATACGAAACAAAAACTGTTGTGGTAGCACTTTATATAGACTATAGATCTTGAATTGTTACATAAACTGTTGCCAGCACTAGCAGATTAACATTTAACGAGTTTATTAATGTCACCTAGCCACCCTTAAAATGTCTATCACCCATTCTTGTTTTCGCACAGCACAACACTTAATACCCCCGTAGTCCCTCATCAGTATTAAGTTGAGATTTGTTTATGCAGTGTGACTATGACAATTTGTCCTGAATTCAGATACTTGACTTTGATTGACGTCATGTACTGTACTTTGGTTTGATGACATCCATGTCAATGTAAACCAATCTGTTTAGATATATATTTGGAATTGGGGAAAAAAGTGTTTATTTAAATATATTTGGTTTTAACTATACAGAATTAATCTATAGACAAATCCTGAATTGTTTCAATCTCACACACAATCACAACATGATTTTGTGATCCTACAAATATGATCCATGGTTTATTCAGTTTTTAATAGGATTTCTAAAAATTGTTCGAATGCAATTTATATAGACATGTTTTTTTGTTTGTTTTCTTTTATTATATTTTTATATTTAAATTTTTATTTTTTTACATTTAATTATATCTTTATATTTAAATTATTAAATATTTGTGTCTTTATTCCTTTTTGTATGGTTTTTTTTTTGTTTTTACCTTGAAAATTGAAACATTTGAGAATTGTTAAAATATTTTTAATATATTTGTGGTACTGTACCCTTTTATTGTTTATATTCGTTTAATTGTTTTTGCATTAAAACAATTATTTCAACTTGTGTTGAGCTGCATGTTATGGTCCTTCTGTTTTTTACTCGAATAGATATATAAATAAAAATGATAAAATTGAGAATGTTAAATATATCTAGCCAATGGTGAATGACTATGCTTACGGTTGGTCAAGAATGGGTTTGAATTCATGAATACTGCTGTGTTGTGTTATTAAAAGATATTTTAAAAACCTTGAGTCATATACCTACAGTAAGTGAGCTATATGTTTGAGAAATTTTAATAGCAGTTGTAAATTTATTGCAATAAAATCTGTAAATTATAAGGAATGAATAACACTTCTAACAGATCAAATTTCTTTCTCTCATCTCTTTATCTTGTTTAGGGCGTGTTCACTCGGCTTGTATAAGTGGCTTGAATACCAGTACGCAGAGTGTCACTGTTGAGTGGTTTGAAAAAGGAGAAACCAAAGGAAAAGAGGTACTACATATGGGAACTAAAATTATGATTGCAAATAAGAGGTTAATGTAGCAAGCAAGGACATTGAGTTCCCATTGTCATTTAGACTCTAGGACATGGTTTGGTCCAAATATAATATAATGACCCAGTCAATATATAGAGTAGCTTACTTTTATATAACTACCTTATTCATTTAAATAAATGCCCCGAGAATGTTTTTTGAGTGGCATTTATTCGAAGGAGGCGTTTATTTGAGGAAGTGTTTTTTTTTTTTTTAGTGTAAAATGGATACGTACAGTAAAATGCCCCATAATTTCACTGTAAATGTGGAATATTTGGATCAAAATTGTGTTTTGCATGATCATAAAGACTTCATGATCTCAACCAGGTTTAAAAAATGTTATTCTATTGACCATAATAGAATGTGTTGCGAATGATGTTGCTCCAGTAGATAATGTTTACAGTCATTTAGTGGGTGTTTATTACAAATGAGGTTCTACTAAGTCTAATAAAGGGGGAACTTATTCAAGAGGGACATTTATTCAAAGCTCGGCATTTATTTAAACATGGATATTATTTTGATAATTTACATTTCCATCCTTTCTATGAATATTTACAGATTGAAGTCGACCAAATTTTTGCCTTGAACCCTGAACTCAGTGTGCCTGAACCAATTGCGCCTGCCCCAGCTCCACAGACAAAGCGCCCAATTTCGTCTGCCAAAAGTGGTCGCATCAGCAATGCACGCCAGTCTGCAATACCAAATAACACCCCGGCGCCACGACATGAGGAAAATCGAAGTAAGTATGCTTCATCATAATTGATAAACATAAAAGTGGAATAAAATATTGTAATTCCTTTGAATGTGATACCATTGCTAATGATCAATCACTTTAAATTATTTTTACAATTAATAATTATAGATAATTTTATCAATAATCGAAGACAATTAAAACTATGTAATTTTTTATAATAAACCAAAAATTCAGTTATTTTTATACGTACAATACAGTAGGTAAACTGTATTATATGTAGAAATACTAAACTTTACAAATTTATTCCAGATGACTTTAGATATTTTATAATATATTTTTTGTAAACTCAGTATTGTTTATATATTGTTTCTTACAGTAGTGTAAATTATATTTACCTTAAATAGATTTTGTTCATTTCTTTTTATCCATTATTCCCAAGGTTTAGTCCCCTACTGAATCACACTCTACACATTTCCTATATTAATCAAGACGCGTGTGTTATTTTTTGTACTTGAATTGATTAAAAAAAATATATTGATAAAAAGACATGAAGATGAGCTTAGAGTATCAATATGCAAATTTCTATAAACATACATTAATTAAAGGCCAGTGGGCTATAGCACTCAAATTATTTTGCCTGAAACTAAGGTAGGAATTTTGTGGCATAACAGCTTGCAGTTTGTTGATGCCCTGTCCTTGTGTCTGGGCTCGGCCTTGTAAGTCCACCTACACAGTACTGTAAATATTTGATATTCAAGTTCAAATGTTGATATCAGTTGAATTCTGTTCAATATCAATTGATACTATTTGCTATTATATTAATAGTTTTATTTACTCATTTCTAAAATAAATTAATTTTCATCATCACTCGATATGTCTTGTTCTTATCAAACATTCAAAATCCAGTGTTGATCTTAGGGTCTCTAAATTTAATTATCAAGTTAAGAATATTAAATATAATTCTTACATTGTCTAATCACTTTGAATGATTAAAACAAACTTATGTTTAAAATACGTTCTCCTTCATATGGTGATGGTTTGGTGGTGATGATAGTGATGATGATGTTGGTGATAATGATGGTGGTGGTAGTGAGGATAGTGAGTACTTGTGTACGATACCAACTGGATTCAGAGATTTGTGTTTTTAATGAAAATCCTTCCAAATGGTGGTGTCTTACTATAATGAATGCTATGGTCCCACAAAATTTGTTAAAAGAAATAAATACTGATCTAAAACCCATAGATAAAACTATAAACACACTCAGGCATGATGATTATAAAAGGGCAAACTGGCAACGCACCGTTGTAAGGCTCATGGCTTAAAAGCCGAATCAGCCCAGAGAAGAAGAGAATACATATTAATTACCATTAACGATTACTTGGTTTGTAATTAGGGCCACCTACATCTCTGAACAGTGCTACATGTATCTGATGTGGACTGTTTTCATTCTCAATTTATTTTTTATCATAAAATGTCAATAACTGGAAAATCCATCTATATCCCAAGAACAAGAGACTACATTATGCCTGCCAAATACTGTATTGAAAAAAAAAAAAAAAAAAAATACTAAATTGTTGGGGGTTGACTACTGTGTTGTATCTCCAATATTGTATACCAGTCAAATCTTCAAAATATAAAAAGCAATGACTACAAATATACTGTACATAGATATTGAACAATAATTTATAGTGAGAAAAATGTTAATATTTAAAATTTAATCAAATTGAACGATAGAAAACCAAGTATAGTACAGTGCAAAAGTTCTTCTGTTTCCCACTAATGTTTAAAGTTGTGTGGGAAAGTGTAGAAGGAGTGGTACTGTATAAAAGTCAGTATCTAGTACTGTACTGTATACATTATTGGCACTATATAGTAGTGTTATGAGTAGTTTTAAATGTCAGAATAATTAAAAATAGATTACTTTTTTTCTTATATCCATCATTACACACATAAAAGAAAAAAAAACATTTTCAATGTTGAATTTCATTTGGAGTTAATCATTTTTTCTTTTTTATTTTGCATCATTTACAAATTATATTCTAAATATCTGTTGATCCCAGCTGACATATTGCCTATCTCAAGCTACATTGACCAATCAACACTGCTTTATTTTGGATTCTGCATAATTGCCCAAAGTTCTTTTGTCGTAGTGCAGGCAATCAAAATATTGGCCCCAACCGAGCTGTAAAAATATTTTAATTGACCTTGTTTTCATTTCTGTCTGCTGTGATTGAATCAATTTTATGTTGAAAAATTATTTTGTTGAATTGCTGTTTGTAATAATATCATCATGTATACGTACTGTACCCATATTCTCTTTCTGTTTCTTCGCCAATCCCTTCACGCCGTAAAAAAAAACAGATGATATTGAAAATGGTAAATTATCTCTCTTATACTGCTACCATTTATTTTCGCATTTGATTTTTGCACGTATAAATTTGATTACAGTTGAATAGTTGTTTTACTTTGTTTGGTTTGGTCATGGTTTTAAGCAGTATTAACATAATATTTGGTCTGCATGCTGTGCATATATTTTAATTGTTTTTTCATTGTATGTGCTATTATTGATACATTATTTTTGTACATGGTATACTGTACAGTAGTTTAACAGTGTACAGGTACCTTACTTGGATCATAAATCATACATGCTACAGTATTCCTGTACTATACCTCATACAGTATACTGCATTTTGCTATTGTTCATTGTGTAGTTATAATTTTATTATTAATTATAATTCATGTCAATTCAAGTCAAATAAAAAAGAAACAACTGAATTTATATAAATCTGACAATTATTCTTAGAATAAGAATAGAGTGTAAATATTACACAAGATTAAAGGTAAAAAGTTCAGCAAAATGGAGATTCTGCTACTTTGAAATTGCTAATATAGGCTACTATAGCTCATATACTGCCTTTCGCTATTGTACATTGTGTATTTATAATTTTTATTATTATTCATTTAAACCAATATTGCATGAATCTCATAAATCAAATACAAAGAAACAACTGAATTTATGTGCTACAGTGTTTAATTTTCTCCAGCAGTATTTGCTTTAACATTAAGTTTTCTTTTTTTTAAATTTTTTTTTTCCCTTTTGTTTTTCCTTCATTGAATAAATGTATTCTAATTAAGAATTAAATTGATTTTTTAAAATTTTTCCTTGTAGTCCACACTACTGTAGCAGAAACAAGTTTATATTTTAAAGTTATTTTAATATTTATGTTCGAGGAAACTACAGTAATTTATGCTAAACATTTTTAAGGGACATGATACATTTTACTGACACTAGTACAGTATATAGCACTGTAGACATTAAATACTAGAAGACATTATGTACACATTAAATAATGGTAAATTAAAAATACACATGTGTATAGCATTGGGAACACAATCATGTCCTATGTTCACATTGTCTTTGTCTACATATCCACACCAGGGATCTTCTCAACATCTCTGATGTTTAGGTTAATATTTAAGGCATTCTAATTTTTATGTTAATATAATTACTACCAAACACTACAATTAATATTTTTTTTTACTGATTTAAAGAAGAGATTGTGGTATATTTTTTTTTATCTTGTGTGTCATATTAATGTTGAATTTTGAAAGTACTGTACTTTACAGTACAGAGTCTAGCCACTGAAAAAGATTCTTTTTTGATTTATTGATACAATACTAGCATGACTGTGTTCTACACTTTCACCAGGTCATAATTGTGTCCTAATTTCTTTAAAGGTTCAATATGAATTTTACATTCAAGATATTTTAAAATATTTATTGTGTCAGTAGCATAAAACCCCTAAATCATACTGTCTAAAGAGTAGTTATTAAGGAAGTGATATTGTGTACAGAAATTGAATTTGTTTGTTTTTGAGGAGACAAAGAGCCTCTGGATCTTAATATATTTCTTCTATAATCAGATCTTGCAAAATTACTTACAATTTTTTAAGTTGGAATGTTTCTTTGAGAGTTTACATTTATGCCCTTCTGTCTGGTGAAATCTGGAAAAACACTCATAAATTCTTCTTTTTCAAATTTTATTGTATTTTGACCGATTTCACTGATGATTTTGTACATATTTTTAAATCTAAATTTTATTGATTGGTCTATTTTACTTGAATATTTTATGCTAATTTAATTTACTGTATGTTCTCATTGACATCGGAGAGTCACTAGACAGTGATTCAGTTCACTTTTTGGCAATCCTGTCCGGCCAACTGAGTGTTTTTTGGTTTTTTTTGTTCTCTGTTATCTTGTGTTTGTCAATTTTAATGTTTTTTGGACGAAATAAATGAAATGAAATAAATATTAATAACAATCAGTGTTGTAGCTATCCGGATTTGAGTGCTTGCTATTACGTAGTGGGGTTAGTTAATAGGGCTAGCCTAGATAGTACGAGAGGCAGACAACTGGCAGGCTTCTGTTCTCTGCCGTTCATGATTTGAAATTTGAAAAAGTAAGAATAGGTTGATAACCGGTGTAAAATAGGCTGCATTAGGAATTTCAGAATCAAAATTTTCGACTTTTCACATCGGAATATATGGATATTATATGAGTGACATATGTAATGGTAAATTTAATTTAAAGTTTAAACGCATTTTGTGCCAGTCGGATTTTAAAAATTTGCTCTCTGTCCCGGTTTCCAAATGCTAGTGCCGGTCATACCCGACTGGCGTAGCACAACACTAATAACAACATTAAATTGCTCTCAATGTCTTAAAATAGTCTTAACGCTTACCCGGCTTTAATCGTGACGTCACTACTGGTCTATGATTATAGACCATTGCTATACCGCGGTCTAACCAGTTAGCCGTCTTAAATTTTAAATCCTACTCGGAGGAGGCTTAAAACGGTCGTCTTAAATCATTTTCATCATGGCGTTACAGGTACTAGACCTACTGTCTGTCTAGATCGTCAAAGACAAAGAATTGAACGACGAAAATTCCGCAAGCTTCTTATTGTCTGAAAAAACTGGTCTACATTTATTTACGTTCGTCTTGATAAATATGCATGTTTTTGAGCAAACGTAACAGCGCCCTCAATTTTATGTTACCAGAGAGTGCGTGTTTGCATTTCAATACTCAAAGTGGTCTAAAGCGAAGACCGTTTTATAGCAATGGTCTTAGTAGAGTGTCTTTAGTAAGACTGTCTAAGCGACTCGAGGAGTTAAGACTACAAGTAAGGCCATTTTATAACAATCCGCCCCAGTTTTATATAATACCAAAGGAAATGTTTAGCTCTGTTCAGTAAACTGGTGGTAGCCACTGTGTGTGCGCTGAACCATGGAGATCTCTAGGTTCCCAGTTCAATTCCCATCACTGCTCTCCTTGTATTTCAGTTCAGTTCAGGAGGGCTGAAATGCAAGTTACAGTACATAGCACACCGTCCTTTGCATGAGACGTTTAAGCTGTTGGTCCCTTTGCATTATGGCCCTTGTGCACATTGAAGATTGCACACTCTTTGGAAAAGGGTAGGAGGTTGTCTCCCAGTGTAAATTCTGCCTATCACAAGCAGAAGGACCCAACTGGAAATAAGTCTTAACCTTGGTGTTTACACCGAATAAATCCATCCATCAAACCATTAGTTAATAATAAATATATATATTACTTTATTTTAAAATCACATAAAATTAATAACATATAACAAAGGCCAAATTGCATGTTATTTTAAACAAAAGAGAAAATTACAATAAATAAATTATTATAATTTTTAAATATTTAAAATTCATAATGATATAAAATACAATAATTTAACAAAAATGTATCTAAAATTTAACAATAATTTAACAAAAAGTTGACAATAATTTTATTTGAGCAACTGGATAATAAAAATAGAATAAGCTGATACTGATAACTGAGCTTGCTACATGTTACTACTTTGCATCTTGGTTTGTGCATCTACTGTAGATTACTTTTATGTTTTTTTGGGTAACACTATCACATTTCACTTCTTGGTTTGATACTGTATTACGAATTAAATGTAGGCTATAATTTATACTGTAGTAAGTGAATCGCAGGACTGCATGAGCACTACTAGTTCATCTGTAATTTATTCATTTCTACAAATATTGATCACCTTTAAGATCTACATTTGAAAGACACATTTTTCTCATTCTCAAATAATATTAATTCATTTCCATAAGTATTGATATTAATTTTTATCATTTGTGTTCATGCAACAGTACCTTCAGCTCGACTGAATGTGGTTCGTTCAACCAATCAGAATGGCAATGCAAATCCGTCTCCTGCTGGTCCTGTTCAAAACCTCCAAAAACAATCAATACCTGCAGGTGAGTTAGGGATCGGTATAGCTATGAATATTTAGGAATGTAGTCTGGGGGTTAAGGGGTTGTGGATATGCACTTCCTCCTCCTCAGCCATGACACCATTAGAAACCACTAAGCAACACAAAGTTAAAATGAACACAGATTTTTTTTATTGGAATAGGTATTTAGTTATACATCCACAATTTTCACATTCCCTCCCTGCGCGGCTCCCCCACACTTCTTTTAAGATTACGGTACTTATACAATATCTATCATTAAATATCACTCAATGAATTAAATTATAATCATGTGTTACATTTAGAAGTAAATTCATTCATGTAGAACTGATGATAACATCTTACCAACATTTTGGAATTCAATACAATGCACTGTCTATAGCAGGCCTAATGATTTTCATAAAAGTATTTTCTTTTAAAACATAGTTGTACCATTGAAGGATGGGCAAAAGTATCATGGCGGTAATTGATATGTTGTATTTATTTATAGTAAGATTTAATAGCATGTTTAAAGCAGAGCAGTGGTCCAATGGCTGTAGTACCAGCCTCCATTATCAAAGTTATCTGTTCAGTTCAAATACCAATATTTTTATCATAAAGAGGTGCAGTACCTTGCATGGTTGGGTTAAAAGTTCAGTGCATGGCTTGACACATGGGGGCGCTTTTAATTTAATCCTGCGAACAGAATTAGTGTGGCTACTTGCTTTAAATAAATTATTAAATTTAGTGTGAACAAAACAAAAATATAACAACGATGGCAACTTAAAGCTCTTTTAGGTTGTTCATACAGTATAAGAGTTAGTATCTTTGCTATAGTCAGAAAGAAGCACAGTATAGACATGCCATCTCTGTTTTAATGCAATTTCTCCAGTTAGTTATAACATTAAAATTAATGGGTTGCTTTACAGTAGTCTCTAGGAGAAGGGAAAAAAAGAAAAATTTGATTGCTTTACATGGTTTTCAGGACACACAACAGAGTGAGAAAAATTAAAAATCGGCTTCACATAGTTTTTGAGGACTTGTCACTATAGGCAGTTGCTGTTATAAAAAAGTTTTTGAGTTCCTCATCTTTCATTGAGTTAAAACTGATGATAGGTGCAAGGTAAATTGTTTAAAAATGTTTAAATGCATGATGTATTTAGAAAAAGAACTTCTAAGGGCCATGAGAAAAACAAATATTGTTCTTATACTCTGTTTTGATTTTTTCTCATGGTGTTGATAGCACGAAGACGATCAAACGTCGTGAAGGAAGTTGATAGAATAAAGAAGCAAAGAGAGGAGAGAAGAGCGAAACAGGTGGAGCAGAAGCAACAACGCTTCAAAGTATGACCCTTGAATCCATAATCCTCATTTACACTTACATATATCCTATTGTGAATACCCTTTCTATCCACAACACCCACAGAAAAGCATTAACAAATAAATAAATTATTGTTCTATTCAAGGTTTTCCTGTAAAAATATGTAGCTGCAGGCTTTAATAACTGCAGTGAATATGATATATTTATAATATCAAATTGTAAAAACATGACATCAAATTGTTATGATTTAAAAATAAAAACCTAAATTATAGCACTTAAAGTTATTAAAATGATTATTTATTAAAACTGGTTGCAATTTTTATTATGTTTTTTTATTTTGAAAAGTTCAATTTCTTTCTCTGTAGGATGCCGAGCTTGCCAATCATCCAAACTGGGAGTTTATACGTATGATTCGCGATTGTCAGGCAGAGCTAGACTTTCAACCACTCAGTAATAATGATCGGGTATGTACCATCTTACACAGAGAACCCCTCCTTTGGGACACTCCTATTACGGGAACACTCCTATTAAGGGACATCCCAATTAACATACACCTTGTAAGCCACAATTTAAGGGACAATATATTACTATGACCAATCCTTGTTCCAGGGACACCCCTATTAATGGGACACTTTTTTGGTCCTGAAGGTTTTTCCTTATTATATGGGTTCTCTGTATTATATTTCAAATATCACCATATTTTTTTTTTTGTGGCAGATATCTTTTAAATCCTTAACCAAGAATGTTGGTTTATGTAATCTTGTTATTCACAATTGAACGCATAAGTGCTATATATCTGTTTGGTAAAGAACATGTTTTTTTGTCTTTTAATTCAACCTTGTGTTAACCCTGAGCAATGTTTAAACACATTCAGTATAATTAGCAGGGCTGTTACTTGTTGTCTTATGCTCTGCTACTCGGCAACAATAGGCGGTTGACTAGCCATTGATCCCAATCTAACCAATTCTCTGTGTTGATTTTCATTCAGGTGGAAGACCATCAGATTACAGTCTGTGTGCGGAAACGACCGATGAACAAGAAAGGTCAGTACAATATTCCCTCTTTGATCTATTGTTTCATCGCCATGACAACTAATACTCTCAGTAATTATTTCCATGAGATATAATGTTTTGATTTTATGATCAATATTTTGCCCTTAAATTTTGATCTATGTTTTTGAAAATCTGTGCACCTTAACATTTTGACATGCAGATTTTTTTTAAAGTTTACACGTACAAACATACTTTCTTGAAATGTTATCAACTCACATATCATCAAAATAGTGTGTCTAATAAATTGGTAGGAAAATATTAGGGGAAGACAAGTATTCTCGTCAGTTTTTTGCATGGGTTGGTATCAAAGATCTTATAAACACAAGATAGCGTTCTCCGCGATTTACGCATAACAAATAGAAGCGTCGGTCAAGGTTCAAAAGTTTCCAATTTAGCAAGAGGGCACCATTCATGCGTTATTACCAAAGAGAAAAAGTAATCAGTTTTGGAAGAGGGCGTCCTATCTGTTGCCATGGATCTGAGATGGTCCCTGTTCTGCTGTTCACAGGATTGATACCCTGAAGGTGAAGTCGCGCGATGTACGGTATGGTCAGAGCGGTCAAGGGTCAAAAGTTTCCAATTTAGCAAGAGGGCGCCATTCATGCCTTATTACAGAATTTGCACGCGTAAATCGCGAAGAGAACGCTATCTTGTGTTTATAAGATCTTTGGTTGGTATGCAGTATTTTCAGAGGGCGCTCCGACTTGTGCAATCTTTTGCAAAGCTAGCAACACAACAAACATACATACAATATTGTAAGTTATCGTCTAGGGGTATGTTCCCCAGACTATCAGGCATTAAGTCTGTGGTTCTACAATGACAATGTATAACAATGAAGTAATAAACGCTATGCTACGGTGGATTTGAGTATAGTTGTCCCTAGCGCCCCCAGCAACACCCTGTGGAATGAGTACTCTATACCTTTCGCTGGCAGCCAACGTGCGAATTATGACTTTCAATAAAGAAATATAACCGGCTTTGATTGGTTTTAAATTTTTTTTCAGAGATGAATAAGAAAGATATAGATGTAATAACTATACCACACAAAGATGAAGTATTAGTACATGAACCAAAACTCAAAGTTGATTTGACCAAATATTTAGAAAACCAACATTTCCGATTTGACTTTGCACTCGACGAGAATTCTACAAATGAGATGGTTTATAGGTAAACAAACATGAACAAAAACCAATATGCTTAAAGGTGTTAGATGGATGGCAAAGGAAAAAGACAGGACAGTTTGATGCAAACTTGTGAAGGCTGTTACCTTGCAGAGGGCAGAATATAAATAAATAAATATATAAAATGTATTATTATTATTATTATTATATTATTAAGAGTTATTATTATTAACTCCAATATTACATTAATATTATGTTACTATAACCTACCTTAAGGGGAAATTAGACAATGGAAAAAGTAGAGAACAAATAAGAAAAAGACATTAAGGGGAAAATAACATGCAGTTAAGGGGAAAATAACACAAAAGATATTCCCCTTAAGTCCGAGTTAGTGCTAGTTATTATTATTATTATTATTATTATTATTATTATTATTATTATTATTATATGGATGAGGATGGTACTGACAATGTTAGCAGGGGGTGAGGGTAACTGCGGTGGGGGTGATGATTATTAGGTTGACTGTGATGATGATGATAAATCAGGATTTTGTTTGTCCTGTAGTAGATGTTAATAATTGTAGCTGATTTTAAACTAGCACCAGATATTTTAAATCTAGTAATTGTTCGAATGTATGGACTGTCTAAGCAAATTTGTAATCATTCTTAAAATTTTTATTGTTCACTTCTTCACACCTATAGATTTACAGCCAAGCGATTGGTTGAATGTATATTCAACAAGGGCATGGCAACATGCTTTGCTTATGGCCAAACAGGAAGTGGAAAGACTCATGTAAGTATATTTATATTGAAGTTGCACTCTCTATGTTTGACTAATAAACTTGGACAATTTAATTCATTTTTGAAATGCTTTACTTTGTTTTTTTTCTATTATTTTCTTTCAATTGATAATTAGAGGTAATTGACAGATGGTAATGAAAGATTTAAGAAAATTAAATCATTTTTACCGAAAACATTTTCTAAATCAGCAAACACTGACTTATTTCAATTTGTTCGTTTGAATCTGATAACTTATTTCATCCTCTTAAATGAGCAATTTGTTTTTTAATTATGTTTGAAGTTTATGTTTGTTTGTCTCGAATAAGCACCGTACTGAAGCCACCAAAAAGTTCCACGGTGCTTATTTGAGGATTTACGATAATTTGTATACATATATTTGAATTTTTTTATATTGATATATGAACTTGTTTTCTGTTTAGACAATGGGAGGTGATTTTGACGGCAAGAAGCAAGATGTTACAAAGGGAATTTATGCCCTCTCTGCCCATGATGTTTTCAAGCTGTTACAGAAACCCGAAAACAGGAAAAAAGATCTTGTGGTCGGATGTAGTTTCTTTGAAATTTACAGTGGAAAGGTACAGTGATAGACTTTTTCCTTATCAGTTGGGTACTTTTATTGTAGCAGCTAAAATTTAAATATACATTTTATTCATTCTGCAATATTAGGTGTTCGATCTTCTAAATAAAAAATCTAAACTTCGAGTTCTTGAAGACGGTAAACAGATTGTGCAAGTGGTAGGCCTTAAGGAAGAACCAGTCAATAATGTGGACAGTGTACTCAAGTTGATTGGTCATGGCAACAATGTTAGGTATGTGCATTTTCATGTTAAACATAATGAAAATGATGATGGAGATAATATAATGATGATATTATGGTGATGATGAAAATGATATGGGGATAATGCTGTTGATGGTAGTTGTAGTGGTGGTAGTGCCATGGATATGTATGTGTGATGATGCCAATGACAAAGTTGACAACGATGATGATGAAATGTCTAATGTTGATGAAAAAAGCATTCATAAACACAATTAAGTTCAGCACATTGTGAAGATGATGATGAAGGATGATGAGGAAGATGAGGATATAATTATGTTTAATGATTGGGATTTTATAGATTATGATATATATGCTATATATTGTTAATAATGATAAACATTGGGGTTACTGATGAACGTCATATGAATTATCCCCAAGACTGTAAACTACTATTTAACAAGAATTATTATCTCAATCCTGAAAAAGATGAGAATGTTCTCATTAATGTTCCTTCCTATTAAAATACATATCCCCATTGTTCACTCCTAATTTTATGTTCTCCAAAGTGAACATCACAATAACAGCTTTCTTATCTTTTTTGTAGAACATCTGGGACGACGTCAGCCAATCAGCATTCTTCTAGGTCGCATGCCGTCTTCCAGATTATCCTGCGGCAACGTAAGAATAATCGATTACACGGAAAGTTCTCTCTTATTGATCTTGCAGGTTAGTACTTTATATCTGTTTTCTCAGTGCAGCTGTGTTTGTCTATCTAACATGTCTTATATTTTGTATGTGAAAGAAAATTCTGCTTTGCAAAATGTTTCCTGATCATATATTTTAATCAGAACAATAAATTCACTATCTTCACAATCATTGTCTTTTTAATGTATGTAAAATTGTGTTGAATTATTACAGATTTCTTCTATATTTTGGTTCTTAATGCCTTGGAGAACTCTTGATAATACTTATGGAAGGAAGGCATTTATACATACTGTATTTTTGCTATCTTAATATGTCAACACACTATGCAAATAATCGTGGCCCTTTTCCATAGGAAACGAAAGAGGCAAAGATACGCAAAGCTCCAATCGTCAGACACGTATGGAAGGCGCAGAAATTAACAAGAGTCTGCTAGCGCTGAAGGAGTGTATACGATCGTTGAGTAATAAAGGCGTCCATGTACCGTTTCGTGCCAGTAAGCTCACGCAGGTCCTGCGAGACTCTTTCATCGCAGACAATGCCAAAACCTGTATGGTTAGTCAATGTTGCGATTACATAAAAAATGTTGTAATAAACTAAAAGATTTCCATGTAGTATTTTGACCCCTCAATTGGGGTATTGGGTAGTTATTTGCAAGACAAGACATTTTTTTATACATTTACAGACATAATTTGATAGATTTGTTTGAAATATCAAGATCTAAACTGTGGCGTTATATACTATAAAGGCAAAATATTAATGTTGTTATTATTACTATTGATATTATTTTTATCCTTTTGTTCTTCATAATTTTTTTCAGATTGCAACTATATCACCTGGTATGAGTTCTTGTGAACATACCCTCAACACACTACGATATGCAGACAGGTAGGCTAACCTCATTTGTGTGGATGCATAGTTTTTTTGTAGCCAGCACGCCCAAAAATATAATATCACCATTTGCTGTTCACACAGCATACTGTACCTTTCTCGATTACGATCAGCCATTCCGTGGCAAAACAGCGTAACTAGAAATTTTCGCTTTTGGAGAAATATAGAGTTAAAGTTTGCATGTTTGGAACTTTACAATTAATTGAAATTCTGTAGGATTGTATATGTAAAGATATTGTGATTATATGTAAAATTTTAATTACAACCGTTTGTTTATTGCAAAGTTATTAGCGATAATTACAGATACGTTGTTTTGCCACAGAAACATGTCAGGCTCGGTATTGTTGAAAGTAAGACATATTTTTGGAATTTATCATGTTTGGGGCAATCATATGGATTACCTAGCTTGTTCATACATCGCTGTTAAGATTATTGATATAAAAACACCAATAACCATTTGATTTTGCCTTGTCAAACTCCATCAGCTCAAGACAATTTTTAATTACCATTACAAGGCTCAACAATGTATCTTCAATGTAGATACGTTGGTTTGCCTTGTAATCTTGTAGTTTTGTTTTTTTTTTGCCACGGAAACATACTAAGTTTTAAGTTTTGTGCTTAAAGATAGGTGGTGCTATTTCCAAAACAACTCTTTATTAAGATCTCAAATTTTCACATGTAATTCTGACGTGTTTAATGTACTCCCAAATGTTATCTCAAAATCATCAAAAATGTCAGTTATGTTGTTTTGCCTCAGGATGGCCGAGATGCTTTTTATTAGACTTCCCAAAGGAGGAATGTCTTGGAGAGGCTATAATATTTTGCCTGTGTTCTTCATTCTGTTATCATTTGTGGTGGAAGTATTAGCACTGGTCACTTTAGCCTTTTTGAAAAACGCAAGTCTCTGTGGCAGCCATTGTATTTCTCCAAGTCTCAACAGCTACAGAAACCCTATTTGAAAGTTCACTATCATTATTGTGTTTATGATAAAATTCATTTTTTATTATTGTGTGATGTAACATTATTTATTATTGTGTGATGTAATCTTTTACTGTAGGGTGAAAGAGCTAGGCCCAGGCCGAGCAGACAACGGAGAACCAAACCTTCCACCTTTACCAAGCCCAGAGAAGAGCCTCTCTCCAAGCAATAGTGATCTGGCCATGCTCTGTACTCATAATGTAAGATGTTTTTTTTTAATCAATAAGTTACATAAAAGGATCAGTGATAACACAACTAGTGCATCCCATAATGAAGGAAATATAAAAGCAATGACTCCAATCAACATGGATGAGTAGTAGTGTTTGTATTATATTATAATTTACAATATAATTTTTTATTTATTTTAGGAGGAAGAGGTGTCAGCAGAGATGTACACATTCCATGAAGCCATGAACCAGCTGCATGAGATTGAGGAGCAGGTCATTGACACCCACAGAACATGTGTTGAGGTGAGAATTATTACTGTTAGCCCTCAAAATCAAGACCACTTTGGGACCTGAAAATTTGGGGTTGTGTTGGGGTCGGTCTCCACATAAAGGGGTAGCTTCACGTTAATAGATTGAAGATTGTTATTTGGTTCTGTGAAAAGTGATCTCGAATGAGTTGGGTGTCAGAATTAGAGGGGTCTGAAATTGGATGATGCAATATAAATATTATAATTATTATTGTTATTTATGTATTATTGTTTTTATTAATGTTGTTATTGCCTTTAGTGCATGAGGCGTTTATACTTATACATATGCTACATGTGTAGTTAAGAGTTAAGAATCATCCACTCATTATTGTAAAATCTTGTTACTATAGGAAAGTAAACAGATACTGGCAGAAGAAGAGAGATTACTGGAGATGACCGATGAAGTGGATTACGATGTGGAAGGTATGTATAACATACGTCTATAAACTGACAATTTATTGTTTTAACTTGTATTTTAACTTCAAGCTTACCTTATGCAATGTATATTTTAGAGAGTTCTAAACTGACCTTAAAGCTATCTAGCCTAGCTAAGCCTTTCTGCTCAGTGTTGTTTGCATTCTGTGAATGTTCAATTTCATTGTTTCTTTTCAATTTCAGACTATTGCACCCACCTGGATGAACTTTTGTCTCGCAAGATTGACCTTTTAAGCATGCTCCGAGAGAAGGTCAATAATTTCCAAAGAAATCTACAAGAGGAAGAAAATGCAAGTAAAAACATTAAGCGCCATCCAGCCCCATAAACTGCACCAGCCTACTGCCAACCAACTAGAAGATTTCAACCAATCATATGTGCCGCTTACTGTACCAAGTTTACAACCTGCATGTTCATATAGTTGTGTGTGGGTCTAATCACATACGTGGTGTACTTTTAATTGTGTGCAGCTAAGGACATTCTTAGCAAACCATACTATAGATTCAGTGTATTTCATCTTTGACGTACTTAGCATACCACAGATCGTTTGCAACTAAGGATGTACTTGGCAGCAAACCAATAGATTCAGTGTATTGCATCTATGATGTACTTAGCATACCACACCTTTTGGCATACTTGGTGGCTCATAGATTGTGTGTTTTTTGCACACTTGGCGTACCATAGGTTGCGGAAATGGATGTTATGACATGTTCCACCTTGAGTGTGCTTGCTGAAATTCCTAATAATAACCAATTATTAATATGTATATTTTGAATGTTCGCCTTGTAAATGAATAGGAAGTTTATTATGTCCTCTATGAAATTATATGCATGGGAGGGCAAAACTGCCAAATTTACATCCCTTACATGGATCTATATAATTATTTTGAATAACCATTGTGGGGGATTTGCTAGATTTGAGCAATTATTGTCAAGAATATTTGCATTTGGCTATTTCTTTTCAATTACTGGCATAAGCATTATCTGATGAAGTTAGTATATAGTATCAGTCAAATTTATAAGTAGTTTCCCCTCCCCACAATTTAGTATGCTAATTGTTTTCTATACCTGAGTTACTTTAAGCAATGATTAAAAGGATGCAAGATTGCGTCTCATCTTTAAGTTTATCCAAAGAAATGCGACAAAATTTTGAAATAGTCTGAATGATAATTAATAATAATTAAAGTGCTTTGTTAATTAGATTGGCTTCAACCAATAATAAATGTTTTTTTTTTCTTTTTTTCTGATGGTTGAATGACAGTGTGGAGTGATATATTATTGCTTCTTGTTGATAGGGACAGTGTAAATAGATTTGTTGAGAAATGTCCAATTTCAAAGAAATTAAGAGTGAGCATAGTAAAAGGATGTTGATTAACGTTCCTAAATGAATGTTTACATTTAATAATAAAAAAAATGATTGCAGAAATTTACTTGTATTGCCTTACAGTTCCTGTACCTGTGCAGAAATGTAAAGCGAGGCGCACACACAATTGGCCAACCTGATTCCATGGACGCAATGCGAAGAGGTTCACCCAACGGATTGTGTTAATGACAATCCGGTCAGTCTGCCATCGACAGCATTGTCAGCAGACAGCGTTGTGTCGTCAAGTAATCAACGAAAGCAGAGATAGATTAGTTGGCGACTGTCCTACGACCGATGTATGATGCAATGTGTGCCTGGCTTTAATAAATTTTAATCTCCCAGTTGATAGCAATTTCTCTCTATTACTTTCCTATACATATATTTTACTTTCCTCTTAATATTCAACTGTTCCTGTACTTGCGGTCAGTCTGTACCAATAGAAATGGTCAGGCTGTGCCTATAGAGTCTATACCATACTAGCAGTCAGTGTGTACCTACAATACTTGAAAGTCTGTCCTATAGAAGTGGTCAGGCTGCATCCATACCAATGGCCACTATGTATACATATTAGTGATCAGTATGTACCTGCAGTAGTTGTCAGCCTTTGTCCGTAGGCAGTAGTCAGTGTTATACTTTAGTTTTCACTCATCCAGCTTTAAGCAAATCTAGTTTGAACTCGAAAGAAAATTGTGTATTAACATTGTCAATAGGGTAGAGTTTACCAAAGATTCTTGCAATTTCTGTTTTAAAACCTCCATTTTTTACACACACTTTTCTATATGAATGCATTATATTAAAATTATCCTATGTCTTGGTTGTCATGGACATGTTTTCATAATTCTGTGGTTGAGTTTTGTTGCTAGGCAGTAGATGGCATCAAGAGAAGATTCCTTATGTATCTTGTCTTGATTTGTTACAGCCAGAAATGTCGCTAATATCTACATTTTATAAATTGTGTTTATTTCCTTTACAACATCAGGGGTGAGAATATTTGTATGCTTAGAAATGCCCATATTTTTTACAAATTTAGGTACTGATGAATATTCATATAAAAGTATTAAATATGTGCGGTTTCTGATTGACTGACACATATTTTATAATTGGCGCTTAAAACAATTGTATTTTTTTCATTTACTATTTTGTGTTATTATATATTCATGGAATTTATAAATCAGGAATATATTTAATCTCTTTATTTAAGTTTTCTTTCGCATCCATATATATAAATATTTATTATCATTTATAAATATGCATTGATTTGTGGTCATGGCTTCTGCATGAAATGTGAGTGGCCTAGTATGACCTACTTTAAGCCAATTGTTATTCAACTTCAAAAGGCATTATTCTTTAATGATTTTTCTTTTGATGCAATTTATTCTATACAAATATACAAACATGAATACCTTTTTTCTGTTTGATCCAGGCAGTGTCTGTGGACTATGGTGTAGTACCACACATATACTGCAAACCCAGCTTTGGGTAAACAATAATTTTGTACCAATTATTTTATAGATGAAATCTATTATTATCATTTCTTTCTCTTGTACATCCTTAGCGCTTGTTGTGAAGATGTAAACTGGTGATTATTTTTTGTATATAAGTATTGACAGGCTAGCATGGAGTTTTTCATAAGGCATCTATGCATTGCCTGCTTTACAGAAATGCAGCATCCATGCTCTTTTATGCTTATTTATTCAGGCTAGGGAAAATAAGAAAGCATTCCAAAGATACATCTGACCTCTGACCCAACGGCTAATCCCATATCACAAGCAATCACAAGGTTCTGCTTGTTACATTCAAACTAGAATTTTAGGATGACCAACATAAAGAATTGATAATTCCATTAATGGTAATAATAGTTGGGGATTTGTATATTGCATAATATGCATGGTCTCTATTATTACTGAAGATATTGGAATAGACATTGCTATATTTTAAGAAAAATGTAAGAAATCTGTTACTTTGTAGTTAACATTCCCTTTAGTAATGAATGAAAAAATGTGAATAATTTTGTTGCTCTTGTTTGCAGTTCCTCACCTTCTGTCATGCTCTGTCCTAATTAACAAATTTTCTTTGACAAAAAAAAAACTGTTGTATGCCCATAATTAGTCATGATGTGCCTATATATGGTCATGATGTGATGTCATCATTACCATATTTAGGCATATCACATGCTTTTGTCAAATAAAATGGGATTGTCTGGACATTGCTTCATTATTTTGCACAACTCTCGGCTGTGTTTCCAATAAATGTTTAACAATATATTGGATTTTGATGAAATACCAACTATGTGCACCAAAGCCAAAGCTTTTATGGTATTTCATTAGTTTATAATATAATGAACAGTTTCTTTTTTTGCTAGGACCCAGATGTTTATTTGCTTACTGCTTGTCCTATGACTAACGTCTTGTATAAACATTTACTGGTCACATGGTGGTGTTGTCATGGTGATATGAATTGATTGCTTCTACAATACAGAAGTGTTACTATTGGAATTTATTGTCACATGACTTGTACAGTATATTGTATTCATTGACTGACATCATATGATGAAAGAAAATAAATCTCCTTCATGTTGCTGCTCTTCAAATCGTGTTTTGTTTAATTGCTTTTAATGTTTTATAATTGTGATTCACATTTAGTACAGCAAAGACTATCCATAGTGTTATAGTAGTAGTGGTTTTGCAAGTAGCAGTAAAGCTTTTTTCCGTCGCATCGCTACACTACACTGTGTCGCTACAGTTTTTTTTTGGTTTTTTTTTTTTTTTTGACTGCAAACGTCCACGGCGTAGCTGTCCACGACGCAATCGGGAAGGCTCACTTGTAGCTGGGTTTCCATACAGTCGCTACACGCTATTTCAGTTGATGCAAACAGATTTCGGTGATGCTGATTGGTCGATCGAATCTGGAAGCCTTCCCGATTGCGTCGGGGACTGCTAAGCCGTGCAAGCAATGCACTGAATACACTAACGATTGTATGAAAACCAAGCTTGATCCAACCGACCAAACAACATCGCCAAAGGAGTCGACGATAGCGCGTAGCGATTTTTTTTAGAAACCAGACTTTAAGTAGATAATAATATCATATACTTCTCAAGTACTTACGGAATTTCCGTAGTTTCTACTAGTTGCTACGGAAATTTTGCCAAATTGCGGACGTACGGAAATAGACAAAAATACTACGGAAATTTATCGTAGGTCTAATAAATAAATAAGTAGTGCAAAACAAATGACTTTCATCAGGATCTTTGGATACATTGTCCCTAGACATCTCATACTTGTCAGATTACTGACGAAGAAAACTACCGTAAGTAAAAGCGGCCCGTAAATTATCATCCTGTCCCGTTTGGTTTGAAATGCCACACAGCTATTATACTAGCTGTACCTGCAATTTTGAGCAACCTATATCTTGCACTCAAGGCAAGTTATTAGGTGCTACTGAGATTTTTCATTACGGAAATCTTAAGACATAATTATTGGAAATGCGTTTTACTAACTTGTGAGAACTTGAGACATAATGCTTTCTGTAGCACCTTAAACATATTATTCTTTGGAAATGATTTAAAGCACCCAGAGAACCAGGCATTAAAAAATGCTAGAGCTTCAAATAATTCAGGGCGGAGCTAGGTAAATGATTCGAAAACTACACTTTTGAACAGTGGCACACTTCGAAATTGTGAAGGTGCGTCAAAAAATAGTAATAAAACTAAATACAATGCAACTTATTTGAAGAAACTTACATGAACATAAAAAGGCGAAAATTGCAAAAATTTACTTTTTTACAGAATTAT